ATGCCTAATTTGACACCTTGGAACTCGTTAAAAACTGGATTTTTTGGCGAATTCCGACCCTATGGTTCGGCTTGGGTTTGTACAGAAATAATTATTTACTTCGATTCCGAAAACTCTATAAGTTGCAGTACGAATCCGGATAAACGTAGAAGTAAAAAACCGCGAGCGTACGCTTTACAAGAAGAAGTGAAGTCAACAATTTATTTGAAGTATCGTTTTCACAAAGCTATTGACAATTTAAGAATAGAAGGAATTGGAAAATGAGTGAAAATGAGAGTATGAGAGAATCTCATTATTGAGTACTTATACTAATATGACAGTTCTTAACTTATACTACAGTGTGTTACAAAATTATTTTGCAAGAAATAAAAGTGAATGTTATCACATTTGGTTCTAGACCAAACATACTGCCCACCATTGAAACTCCTAGTTTCAATCAATCGGTAGCAATGCCAACTTTGCTAGGGGGCGCCGCAGGATTGTTGACGCTCTTTTAACATCTGCGACTCGTACATGTCCATCTTTACCAGCAATAACGTTTGCGATACGTCCCATCAGCCATTTCATAGGAGGTTGATTATCATCGTGAATGAGGACTAGGTCATTAATTTGCAAGTCTCGCTGTGTTTTCTGCCAGCGTGGACGATTTTGCAATTCGGTGAGATATTCGTGATGCCATCTGTGCCAGAAGTGTGCCTTTGTTGCAGAAGTTCTTTGCCATCGCTGAAGATTCGAAATATCCTCAACCAACTTCGTAGGTTATGGAATGCCTTTTATAGAACTTCCAATTAAAAAAACGCCCCGGTGTTAGGGCCTCCAAGTCGTTGGGATTTGATGACAGTGCACCAAGTGGTCGAGAATTGATAACGCTTCGATTTCAGCCAGTGAAGTGCTCAACTCCTCGAACGTTAACCGTGCAGTCGTCAGAGTTCGATACATATGCGCCTTTGCCGACTTAACGGCAGCCTCCCAGAGTCCTCCGAAATGTGGTGCTCTGGGGGGAATAAATGAAAAATCAATAAAATTAGACGAGCAAAAATCAGTAATTTTCTTAACATTGGTGGAGCTCTGAAAAGCTTTAGCAAACTCCTTTAGCTTGGCGCCAGCGCCAACAAAATTTGTTGCATTGTCACTATAAATCTTTGACTCGCATTAGTTGGAAATCGCCTTCATCCTGTTTCCTCAAGGTGGCGATTTCGTTTGCAAAGTAATGCTGTTGAATAATCTAAGCAACTCGTTTAAGAGCTTCTTCTAGTTCTGTCGCTGTGTAAGGCATTCGTCGTAGATGCATAATTAGCATAATTGCAACAACACGAAGACCCTTTATGTAACTGCAGATATGGTCTTTCGATAACCTCACAGGTACATGCAAGCTTGCGTTTTTCCAAGTCATGATCTTTGTCGGATAAGTAGCCACTAAATGTTGATGGCCACGTTGATGAATCATGGAGAAGAAATGGAGGTCCGTGAAGCCAATTTGATTCCACAAGTTCGTTGACCGAACAGCCGCGTGAAATAAGATCTGCAGGATTTTCCTCTGTCGGGATATGTCTCCAAGTTACGTCCTTTGTTAATTGTTGAACATCAGATACTCGATTACCAACAAACGTTGACAGTGTTGATGATTGCGATTGTATCCAGTGCAATGTTATTTGCGAATCGGACCAAAAACACCTTTGGGAAATTTGCCAGTTAAGATGCTCTTCGATTTTGTTCCAGAACTTAACGAGTAAATGTGCGGCGCATAACTCCAAACGAGGAAGTGTGCAAACCTTTAATGGAGCAACGCGTGATTTGGACGCTACCAGGTTTACTGTGACATTGCCTACTTCATCCTTGCAGCGAACATACAAACAGCATCCATACGCCTTTGTCGAGGCATCTCCAAAGCCATGAACTTGTATGTCGACAGCATTTACAAGGCCAACATATCTCGGAATACGTATGAGGTGCAACTGCTGTAAATCTTGGCAAATAGCTTCCCAAGCACTTGCAATTATTTGTGGCACAGATTTGTCCCAGTCACATTGAAGAACCCATAACCTTTGCAGCAAGATTTTCGCCTTAATGACAACAGGACTATAAGTCCCAGTGGGTCAAAGAGTGACGATGTTGTTGACAAGATTGATCGCTTCGTAATGCTAGTTGTCTGATTTTTTGGATGATACGCGAATCCGAAAACGTCGTCACTGGTATACCAAGATATTCCAAGTGCACTTGTTGTGGTATTGTCGTCCAAACAGACGTTCTTGATATCCGTCACTGATTCCATTAGTGATGGGTGATTACAGAACCATTTAGTGAGTGAAAGCTGAGCAGAATTCAATACTTCGCAGACTTCCTTCTTAATCATTAGCAGGGATTGCTGATCATCTGCTCCTGTTAACATATCATCAACGTAGAAGTCAGTTTTGATGATTTTCTTTCCGAGATCATTCCCATATGGACAGGTCTCTGCTGCGAATTGTAAACTACGAATTGCAAGATAAGGCGCCGCTGCAGTACCATATGTAACGGTGTTGAGGCTATGTGTAGAAATTTGTTGCGTTTTGTCATAACGCCAGAGAATCAAGTGGTACTTACGATCATCGGGATGTAGTAAAAATTGCTGATACAATTTTGTAATATCAGCTGTAAGACCATATTTGTGGCACCGGAATCGTAAAAGAGTAATTAACAATTCATTTTGAAGTTGCGGGCCCACCATGAGTAGTTCACAGTGAGACCTGGGAAGCCGTACGACACGATGCGTCGAAGACAACTCTCAGTTTAGTTGTCGTACTTCCCGGCTTTACCACGCAGTGGTGGGGTACAAAATAGAGTGGTGAATCTAGTTCCACATTTTTGATTAAGACATATGGCCCAGTTCTTCGTACTCCTTCAAAAATTCTGTATATTCGCTCTTTAATGTTGGATTTTTCTCGAGTTTGTTTTCCATTGCTAAAAAGCGTCGCATAGCTATATCTCGCGAATTACCAAGACTGCGGACATCACCCTTGAACAGCAGTTTTACCATGAGTCGACCATTGGATTTGGTTACCGTTTTCAAAAAATGAGTCTCGCACTGGTATTCTTCTGATGTCAAATGTTGCCTCTTTGAATTGACTTCCTCAAGCTGCCATAATTTTTCAACGTTACGGTTTATATTATCTATTGTAGAAATAGCTGCACAATGGGATGGATTGCTAATTGGTTGTCGTGGAGCAGAGCATTTTCCGGATACGATCCAGCCAAATAAAGTTTTTTGCAGAGTAGGCAAGTTATCGCCAAGACGGATATTCCCAACGGATAAAAGCGAAAAAGAGGCTTCTGCCCCAAGCAACATATCGACTCCACGTGAACGGTGAAATTCAGGGTCCGCGAGATTAATATTTCTAGGAATCATTAGATCTGCTGATGCTACAGTTTCACTAGGATGATAGCCAGAGATTTGTGGAGATATTAGGAATTCTAGCGACGTTTCAAAATTATTAATGCGAGAGCGAATGGTAGTTTGCATTTTAAATGCTATTTTTAGTGGGGATGAGCCAATCCCGCAGACGTCGATATTATTACGAGACTTACGAAGATTTAAACCTGAACAAAGCGCCTGCGTCATAAGGTTCACCTGTGAACACGAGTCCAAGAGAACTCTACAAATCTCGAACTCTCCACAAGCGTCTCTAACCAAAATCAAGGCGGTAGCAAGTATAACTTGCCCTCCTTGCGCTGAGGCTCCAAGTTGGGTTTCGACACTGGTTGTATGAACTGATGCTGACTCATTTGTCGTAAAGCTGTTGTTTGGCGGAGTAGAGGGTGAGGAAATAGTTTCGGAGATATTGTGTAGCAACGAATGATGCCTTTTTTTTACAAAATCGACATGAATATTTTGATGGGCATTGCGAACATCCATGACCTTTAGCTAAACAATTAAGGCAAAGATTTAAGTTTTTCACTTGTTGTGAACGCTGAGTCACCGGAAGAACTACGAAGCCTTGACACGTTGATATATTGTGACCTGATTTAGAGCAAAACGCGCACAACATATCCCTTTGAGAACTGCGTTTCGCTAGCAACGTATGATTGATTTTCGCGTTGTTAGTATAGGTCCTTTGATGTGATGACTGAGCTGCAGCTGGCCCTGACGCGCCTTTCAAATTAGCATTTATTTGTTGACAACGTTTGTCCAGCATTGCGCAGCAGTCAACCCATTTTGGTAATGATACGTAGTCGATGTGTTCATCCCATTTTCTTCTTGTATCCGAGTCAACTTTACACAACGCAACATGTATAATGAACGCATCACAAATTTGTTCATAAGAACCTAGCGACTGTAAGGAGCTGTAAAGAGCAGAGACGGTGTCGACTATGTGTCGCAACTGCCCCGGTACACTCTTAGTCGCCTTGGGAATATCAAAAAGTGCTGATATATTATCTAAAAAAAATTAAAGTGTTGTTATCGTACCGGTCTTTGAGACGTTGAAGTGCCTTGGCGTAATTTTCATTTGTGACTTGGAAAGCCTTTACCGTGGATAACGCTTCTCCACTTAAACAAGTCAGCAAGTGGTTGAACTTCTCAATGGCTGGTATATTAGGATCATTATCCACGAGACTATTAAAACAATTTATAAAGTTTTTATACTCAATGTATTTGCCATGAAACTTTGGTAAACGCAAGTTTGGTAACCGATTTGTTGTTGTTTGTGGAAAACATAGAGTTTGTTCATAAAAACTTTGTCTTCTACGCCCGTCCATTGCAGCTGATATTTTGCATTTTGCATTTACATAAAGCTCATCAATATCTGACCGACCATTATCAGCTGGGGACAGTCTCTCAATTTGAGTTTGGTAGTACGAAGCTTGTTTGTAATACGAATCAATTACAGTATATTTTGCTTAGCTGCCCATCCTTCTTTGCACGAAAAACTTGTGCACTTAACCGAAAAAAGCACTTAAGCGAATTTTCTTTACTACTTCAATGAGGAAGGTATCCGAATCCCTATCAAACCAATTAATGGAGGAGCGCTTACCACGTAGAAATTACTGCAAGCGAAATTTTTACCGAATGGTATCTAATTATCTATATAACTACACTAATTGATAGCCATTTTCGTTGTTCTGCGAGATGAGCAAAATAAATAAAAGCTTGTAAAATTAGGTAATTGTAGGGCCAGTGCTGGTAAACCTAATACTTTCTTTGATAGTTAATAATAGTTGCACAGTTTTTAAGGCAGGTATCGCCAATGTGCATGTATGTTGAATACATCTATCGGAGGAGTTTCCTTATAAATGTTAAAAATAATGCCGCTAGTGCGCATTTTAGGGTAGGTATCTTAAATGTGCACTTAAGCATAAAGGCAGCAAAGCAAAATATACTGTATACCAAGGCGCCACTCAAGCTCTGTTACGGAAAGATTATTGTTTCCTTCAATTAAGTTTCTAATGCGGGTAATACTACCCTTGGTAGGCGCTCGAAGTTGTTTTAACTCTTCAAGTGACGGTTGATTTTCTGTCATTTTTGCGAAGCGAAAATGGTCTACATACGGTATGAAGATGGCAGCAGCGACGTACGAATGTAAATTTGAGACAAACTGAGCTAGCACAACAATGACCGTTTTCGAAGCTGAAATGCTTTCTCTTAAGTACTATGAAGTCTACGGCGATGCGAAGAGACTCAAGCAGAAAAAATTAACGCAACAATGATGTCACAACGATAGGACAATAACAGGTGATAGCGTTGCCTAGCGTGTATGAAATAATTTCTCTCTTTGTGTAACGAAATTGTAGAGCATTGGATTATGAAGTTATAATACCTATGCTAAGAGCGCCAATGTCCGGTATGCGTTGGCGTAGCTTAAAGGGAATATATGTACATATACGTACAATGCGCACACCTCATATAGATATATAGCAGCGGTTGTAGCGGATTTTTAGCTATACATATATAAATGCAACGATAACGGATCCTTATATATGCAATTTACCTTGGCACACTTTCTGTCAATTATAGATCTTTATAACTGGAATATGTCTGTAAATTTACCCAAAACTCCTTGGCTGATGGTTGAGGAAGATAAACGTTACAACCTTTGCACCCCTACTACCCATGCACACATAGGACAACTTATGCGAAGTGTCAAAATCCTTGCAAGCAGATCCACCTAGATGAACTTATGACGATGCGAAAACGTGGTTAGGCACACATGGGACAACTTATGCGAAGTGTCAAATCCTTGCGAGCTGATCCACCTAGATGAACGTATGATGATGTGACAATGAAGTTTTGCGCAGGACAACTTATGCGAAGTCTCCTGGCAGGATCGCCAATGAAAAAGA